CATTCGCATCTCTTCCTCGAACTACTGATCGGGATCCTCTTCACACATGGCTGCTGTAGGACACCTATACGCCCCCCCCTTATCCTCCATCATCCCCTTCCCCCTCCTTCCTCATCACCACCCCTCTTGTCTCTGCATGTGTTACTTTGCCCCTCCTCCCCTTCCGTAGAGGGAATGCACGCACTCCTACCCCTGCCTCCTTACTACTTGTATGACTCGGAAGAGTGACATTCAGTCTAGGTCTCTCACACGCATCAGCACCCTTCCTCTCACTGCAAAAAACAACCTATAGAAACAACCCACGCCAGAAGAACTGGCTGCACACCGCCGTCAGCAGCAAGAGTACGAGGAGGCTGTCCGTAGCATCCACAGCCTTGTAAGTTCATCCCAAGCTCAAGAACTCCCCTCCCCCTTCCACACTCCATCGCCTCTTGATACTGCGAGCCCTTTCTTGAAAAGAAAACAGCAGCAACAGCAACATCAACACTAATGTCCTGGTGTGTGTTTTTTTTTTCTTTTATGACCAACAATGTATATATATAATATGTATATAGGTCGAGAATATCCGTCATGATCCGATGAAGACGAACAAGATCAGGGTGCATGGAACAGCCAAGACACGGGAAGGGTTCATGCACCGAGCGCTGGCGCCGCTATTTGAGGCGCGATCGCTGCATGAGGTCATTGGACTGTCGCGTCAGATGGTCCACAAGCTCGAGCGCTTTGGCATCTTTGAGGACGTCAAGGTCCAGCTCGATAGCCCCAGGGAAGACTTTCTGGCCGATCGCAAGGATCGGGTCGATGTCGGCTTTTGGGTCAAGGAAGGGTCCAGGGTTCAGATCAAGACTGGTACTGAGGCTGGAAATGCCGAGGCGAGCGCGGTATGTTTCCTGTTTTTTGTGTTGTTGATACTGTTGTTGTTGGCTGTTGGATGAGATGGTTCAAAGAACGTTTCACAAAAGAAAAGAAAGAGAGAAACAGCCAACCTGAAAGAAAAGAACGCTGGATGTGGTTTTAAACCGCCCCAAAGCGAGTAGGGAAAAAAAGAAATATTGCTAATGATCAATGGTGTCCTCTTTCTTTTCCTTCTTTCTCATTTGTTTTTCTCAACTCTTTTAGTACGGATCGCTTACTGTCAAGAACGTGTTTGGCGGCGCAGAGACTCTGAACACTAGCATGGCTTTCGGTACCCGCACCTCCTCCGCCTTCCAGGTAAGACAGGGTTCTTCGTCGATTTATCAAGGAAGATACGAATGCAGTCCTAGAAGAAACCTCACACCTAAACCCGCTGTTTTATTTTTTACCATTATTTTACTATGGTATATGTCCTACAAAACGAATTAGTTCTCGCTGGCCACGCCCTTGCTCGCTGACCCAGACAAGAACCTCTCGCTCAACCTGTTCAGCCAATCCAGGAATAATACCTATTGGAGCTCGCATGAAGAAGACCTCAAGGGCGGCTCCGTCAAATACACCGTATGTTGTTGCCTGCTTTCACGGCTGTTGCAAACGGACAAATGGGTGGATAGACTTTTTTCTTTGTATGATCCTAAATTTGTTTGTTTTGTTTATGAAAAAAATAGACACTCTCTCGTCTAGGCTACCACGAGTTTGCCTACGATGGTCACTGGCGCGAGATTACCCGTCCTTCTGAGAATGCCTCGATGAGGTAAAGGAAAAAGAAAAGACGCGATCCCTTCCCTCGTTTCATACTTGTTGTCATGTCAAAGGAAAAAAAAAAAGAAAAGGCAGTAATGGACTACTGACCCGCCACCCCTTACTATACATTCCTTACACAACAACATAGCATCCGTGAACAGTGTGGCCACAGCTTAAAGTCGGCCTTGTCGCACCTCTGGATTCACGACCAGCGCGACGAGCCGCTGATGCCCTCGACGGGCCACTACCTCCGGGTCTTCCAAGAATACGCGGGTCTCGGCGGCGATGTTGAGCACCTGCGTCACGAGGTCGAGGGCCAGGTTGTCCGGTCGAACGCCCGTGGCTACATCCTGTCGGCGACGATGAATGCTGGGTACCTGCACTCGCTCAACGGCAAGCCATCGAAGCTTTCTGACCGATTCTTCTTGGGAGGACCGATGTCGGTGCGTGGATTCAAGTCGTTTGGATTGGGACCCCGGGATGGAGGCGATAGCTTGGGAGGAGACGCGTATGTGTCTGCGGGTGTGTCGCTGCTGACGCCGTTCCCGGGATTCCCGGCGCCGGACGCGTCGGTGAAGGGACATTTGTTTGCGAATGCGGGAAGCTTGGTTGCTGTGACTCCATCATCATCTACAACGACAGCCGCGACGACAATGAGACGGACGGCGGAGGATCTGACCAAGACGCCGAGCGTGAGTGTCGGAGCTGGTGTGGTGTACAGGCACCCACAGGTCCGGATCGAGCTCAACTTTGCAGTGCCCTTGGTTGCGAGCCAGTCGGATGCTGTGTCGAGAGGCTGGCAGTTTGGACTTGGTATTCGATTCCTGTAGTTTTCTTCTTTTTTTTCATATTTTTTATTTGTTATCCCCCTCACCCCACTCTACCAGGTTCTTTTTTTCGGTCTTTTGTTCGTGTGTGTTTATCAGGATGGAGAAAAGAAGGAAAGAACGCGTTCGAACAGAGGAAAAAGGTGTGTTGTAACGAACAAAAAAAAATGGCATTCACTACTACCCCCTACCCACTCTGCATCTTTAGAATATAAAAGAAAACGTATGCAATTTGTTTTTCTGTGGCAGTTAAAGTAGACGTGTCCTCATGAGTGTCACTAGCCCTTGCGAAGGATGACATGATGACCAGTACAACCTCAAGTTTTGAATCCGCGGGGAATTTTTTGCCCACGACAACTAAAGGGATATATAATCCCTAAACTGTTGCATAGACGTTTTTTGCATGAATACGAAGGGCTCGAGCACAAACCAAAGAAGGCTCTTTATTGATGTGTCTCAATTTTTTTTCCCAGAGGGAGGGGGGGAGGAGTTTGAGCAAGGAACGCTAGTTCTGCCGCTATTCTCGCTCGTTCGTGTTCTTACACCTCCCTTCCAAAAGCGTTGCTTTTACGCCTCCTTCCTATGCTTCACGGGGTCAACCGACTTGCCAGCGGCAGGGGCAGTAGTACGATGGCCACCAACGAGGTCTCCGTGGCGCTCAAGGTGCAAGATGTGTTGGATGCGCTTCTGGTGCCCGACCTCGGCCAGTGAGACACCCTTGGCTACCGTCGACTCTTCGACTTTGGCATCATGCACTTGTTCGTCAATCTTGCGGATGCGCAGCGTCAGGGTGATGCGACCGTGGACCTTGCCGTCGCGGCTGTAGACGTCAAACTTGCCCGCATACCTATGGTTGGGCACCGTCGTTACCTGATCGAGAGGGATGGCGGCGTAGGCGATGAGTTCGTCGATCTTGGCGTCCTCGTCCTACATTGAAAGGTTTTTTTTTTTTTTTTGAGGGAAAGGTTGCTGCTGTTGTTAGAACACATTTTTTTTTTCCTCAGTTTGTAAAAAAATAGGAGAGGATAATGAACTTTTTTTTTTGATCCTTTTCTCTTGTTGTCATTATCATTGTCATTTGTCATACCATGATTTCGAGGTAGAGGTATTTGGTGGTATCCTTGAGGTGCTTCAAGGATACGGTTTGGTTCCAGTCAGGTCGCTTGCCACCGCCTTCTACCGTGTGGGTGAGGGCGCCGTCTTCGACGCGGTTCGGATCGAGGTAAAGGCGCACATAGGGATCGTTCCTGTCAAGCCAATCGAGCTGTTGAAGCTTGTCAGCACTGTGGACGGTAACATCCAGGACCTTGTCGTGGTGGCCGAACAACATTATTGTGAGAAAAAGAAGCTGAAGGAAGGAAAGTGTTGGAAGGGGGGGGGGGATGAGAGAAAGAGAAAGGGGATTGAACGTGGGAGAGAAAAAGTAAAAGAATTAGCGCATATGCAGTTTTATAGATCGCCACATGAGGCTTAGGATATACGTTGGCGTCACATACCTAAGCAACTGTAGGTCTGGGCACCCTAGTACGATTCCTGCAGTCTCGCCATTGGACCCAGACACCACGCGTCGCTTCAAACAAGAAAGAAAAGAAAGCTAGTAAGAGAGAACCATGCTTAGAAAAAGAGAGAGAGAGAGGCAGAGCCACCACTGAGCTAAAAACATAGTCAGGTTGTAAGACCAAGAAGGGCAGTTGGGTGTGAGCTACGCGTTCACAACAGCGGGTTGAATTGTGTGCGTTCTGAATGAAGGTAGCGTGGCGGGTCCAAGGGCTCATCGTGCCACACAAATGACCCTTTCAAATTCCTCTGTCCTCACTCACGCCGAAGGAACAAGTTGTTTTAATGTGTGATCCTGATCAAGACTACATGTTCGTAGACTTATGCGGCAGGCCATTGTTGCACACAGGATCTGCGAGATTGCATTCCACCACATTTCTAGTCATGAAGTTGCAACAGGCTTCGGGCGTACATCTAGCTACTAGGCCTTTAGCAACAAACCGCGGCGTTTTTTTTTTTTTTATCCAATATCGCCTCAGTTCCACATTATAAGAGGTCTCCGAACTCCCTGAAGGACTATCTGTTGCATAGTCAAAATTATCTGTTGCCCATACCATCTAGTCTAGAGATACCTCGCCATGCACCATGCTTTCCCATAAGTACAGAACCACCGGATCTATCCATCTATATAAGCTTTGTCTGTTCGCCAGCTTTGGCGCTGTGGGTGAAGAAGGCAACGCGCCACCGGCTTCTATCGATAACTTGTTCGATATCAAGCAGCCGTTGGACGAAATGATCGCCCTGATTTCCAAGTCTCTTCATCACCGCACGGGTTTGACTGCATTTCTTCATTTCTTTCCAAAACACAATAAAAGTGTGATCCCAGAGCTACCAAGCTACCCAGGACGCGCGTAGGACATGGCGCAAAAGGATTAAGCCTGTACGCGTCAATGAGTGTAGATTTCTCGTGAGAATCGCGAAGTAGCAAAAGAGTAATCGTTGCCTCGGGCAAAAGATTGCGTGGACCGGGAATCGAACCCGGGTCTACCGCGTGGCAGGCGGTAATTATACCACTAAACCATCCACGCTTCGATGGAAGCTTTCATTCTGAAACCATCATGAAACACTCCGCAGCGTATACGTCAATCAATTCTTTTCGTATATAGAGCTTCGGATACTGCTGGACTTCTAAAGTCAACACCTAGTTAGGCCTACCTCGCGGACCATGCGGCCAAGAGTTTGCCATGGTGGAGCGTCTAGGGAGGAGTGTATTCTTAAGAGCAAAGGTGCTTGTGCACGCCTTGCTCAGGATGTTTATAACTTGGTCCGTGGTGAAGCTCGCGGATTTTGATCTTGCTGCGGGGAACAAGTGTAGCAAGGCACTCTTGAAAAAAAAAAATGGCGAAAAACTTTCTGCGGACAAGGCTATGATTTTTTAAGGGGGGGGGGGAAAGCTGCTTGCTGTCGAAAGTCCACTACCAACGCCTTACAGTGCGGTAATAAAAAAAAAACGCCTTACAGTGCGGTATGGAGGGCTAGGTCGAAATGGCATATTTGTATTCCATTGTTCGTACTTTTCAAACGTTTGACGTTGTAAGCAAACAGGGAGAGTATCTTCGACTTATTCGGACTGCAGGTTCAGACAATGCGAGTAGACGAAAATAAAATATATCTCCATTGGAGTAAAATATAGCATGACAAGCACCATAGGTATCTCGAGACAGCAACAAACTGTTGTGTCTTTCTGTTGAGCATTTGGTGTCAAGCAGACATGCAGAGCTACCAAGAGAAGACTGATTATGCACTGTCATCGGACCTAATGTTGTCCTGTTCGCCTCTATTAAAGGGCCCTTTTTGAAATGCAGAGTATTGCATCGGTCCGTCAATGGTAGTCGCGAGAGGGTCGACTGCTGTATCAAATATATCCAGCCAGCGGCCTGAACCTTGTTTTTCCCTTTGACAGAGGTCCCTGTGGAGGAGAATTAAGCTGGTGCGCCTGCTGGGGACGGATCATTGGCTGCAGACGCAAGGACATCGAAATGTCAAATTTGATTTTTTTTTTTTAGTGTCCTCTTCTTTTCTTGTCTTTCACCCCCCTCCCCTCCTAGTCATGTCGTCAACCATGGCCCCCATGATGAACTACATTCACACAGGTCCGTTCTGACTGACCGCATGAGCCTTACCTCTGCATGGAAGAGGAAGAAAAAAAAAAGAACGGAAGAGACCTTCATTATTCATCAACCTGCACATTTCGTGCCTTCCCTCCCCTCTCTTCACCTCACTTTCCTAGACGCCAGTAACGTCTACTTTCTAGTCGAATGGATACCACTCGGGACACCACTCGGTCTCTTCGTTGGGTTGACGCTGACAGGCGTGATCTGTGCTACCGAGCGGATCCTGACGAAGGCCTTGGACAACGCTTCCTTAGAACTGTACCAGCTGCAAGAAGACCGACTCTTGGAGCTTCAGGAACGGACCGCTGCTGCCGCCGCCTTCTCTTCCACAACAAATGGCAGCGCAGCAGACAGCACTCGGAGGAGAGTGAGAACAAATAGCAGCAATGGGAAGCAATCACCACAACACGATGATGCCACCCCCGCATCCCCTCTGCCATCGGCGAGCGGCAGCGGTAATAGCTCCAGCAACAGCGGCAGCGGGGCTGGAGGTTTGATTCATGGGTCGACGTCCCTCACACGACTGCACCTTTTGCAGCGGCGGCAGATGAGACGGATCGTGGCCAAGAAGACTTTGCTCTACTTTTGCGTCAATGCGTTGCGTCTCGGATACATGCTGCTGGCCATGTCGCTGCACCTGGGATTGCTGATTGTCATTGTAAGCTTTCACGGGAGGTCTATTTACACTTTTGAGAGCAAACCGGGAGGGAAGTGGGAAACCAACAGAGGAACTTATCCTCTCTCTTATTTTATCTCCCATTCTCGTTTTAGACATGCTCCCTAACAGGCACACAGCTCCTTCTGGATTGTTTGGGACTCAGGAGGTAATCAATTGGGATCACCCTCGGATCCATTGTTTTTGGGCGGAAGCAAAAAGAGGGTCGCCCTGCGTTTGACCTCCTTTTTTTGTACTTTTGCTCCTTTTTTTTGTGGATGTGTTGATGGTGGTTCCATGGTGATGCCACCACCTTACGCTTTCTCTCTCTCTCTCTCTCTCTCTTTCTAGATCACAACAGGAGGCATTGGAGGGCTACGATCCGATAGGATCTTCCATGGAACTCGATCACGACTTTTCTCGACCCTCTTTGCGAAATGTCGACCAATCGGACGAGGACGAGGATGAAGACACTGACACGAGCGAGACCCTTCGACAGCAGAGGCAGCATAGTCGTGGATCAAGGTTGCAACAACAGCGCCGCCCCCAAAACTCTGCGTCCATGGCGTTGCACCTATCTCGATCTCACGAGTGTGCCTAATCTTAACTATGGCTAGCTGGAATAGCTCTATATATAAGAAAAAAAAAAAGAAAAAGAAGAAAAGTCAACTACATGGTGCAAATTGTTTATTCAAGTCTATGAAGTGGTGTGTGCATGTGTGTTTTTCTATCTTTTTGTTGTTACAAGGAGAAATGACAGGTGATGGAATGCAAGAAAAAAGCGAGGTAATATGAAACGCAAGACGGATTTCATGCACGCTGGTTTTTGAGCTCGGCAGAGTGATTCTTCCAACAGTGATGCAAGTAGTTGTCGTAACCACCAATGAACCGCAGTGGCTTTCCTGAGCAACCTTCCCAGATGAACGGACTTGTTTTGTGATCCTGCGATCCTGGGACTTCCTACAAAGAAGATCGAGAAAAGAGTTATACAGCTGTCAGTTTCAAAGTGTGGGTCGTATTGGGGAGCCGTTCCAGATGTTGCATATAGGCAGCTGACAAAAAAAAAAAAGGTCGATTTGTTACCTTGTTCAAGCTCTCCAGTCGCTCCCTCCATTCTGCTCTTGAATGTGCCGTCACCTCCACTTGAATGTTACTTTTTGTTGAAGTAGTGTTGAGCTTGTCGGCAAGTTCCATGGCGTTCTGGAAATATTGACAGGCTAGAAAGCCCTCCTACAGGAAAATGGCAAGAGGGAAAAAGAAGCCGAGAATGAGTGTCAGATGCCTAGGTACATGAGCCACTGACCCACATTCCTTCATGACCTCCTCCGGAGCATACAATATGATAGCAAACGTCCTTAGGCACAGCCACCTCGGGCTTCTCGGAAAAGAAGAACGACAGCAAGCCCATGTTGGTTTTTTCGATAGTTTAGTTGGCGGGAATACTAAATGTCGCTTTTTACAGCCAAAATACGAATATGAAGTATTGTCGAGTTCAGGAATGGAAGACCCTTGAAGTCTGTGCTCCGAAGGGCGATGCAAATGCCGTTCCTGAATGTCGTTTCAAGGAAGCCAATTTTTGTGGCCGTTACGGACCCACAAAGGAACCGTCACAATTTCCACGCCCCATCGGAATAAAAAGTTCCAACTTTAGCCTCCAACACCTTTCATCTCATACTTTCAGCAACTCCTCCTCCACAAGCCTTTTAGGTAACGAACTCCCCCCTAACGTCACCACGGTCGACTGCGGTCAATTGGCGAACTCTTGTCCCATGTCGTGCAAGATACGCATCCATTGATACTGATGATATTTATGTGTCTTTCTTCATCCCGACGACTTTTTGGTCACTGATCCTTGCTTGCAGACCCATCCAAAATGACTGACCTGCAGAAGCTGTCCTCGAGCAAGCACTTTGGTGGCAAGCTCGAAAAGTACTCACATCAGTCGTCGAGCACCAACTGTGTCATGACGTTCAATATCTATCTACCCGAGGCCGCTGTCAACGGTACCAAGGTTCCCGTAAGTCTTGTTTCACGTCGTGTTCCCTTTTTTTAGGTTGCATTCAGGAAATGAACAAAACATGCATTCATTGAGCACATGAGGAGAGGAGTGCTGCAATGCGTGAAGGACACGCGCGTATTTCTTGATGTTGCTATATCCAGTTGTCTACGCGAACCGAAAGCGATCTATAGCTCACCTTCTGTTAATTTTATTGTTTCACTCTCAGGTTCTGTACTGCCTGGGCGGTTTGACCTCTTCTGAGGAGAATTTTGCGACCAAGGCTGGCGCCGCGTCTTTTGCGGCCAAGTACGGTCTGGCGCTCGTCTTCCCTGACACTTCGCCTCGTAAGTCTAAGTTTGGCTGAGAGAATGGATGGATGGGTAGCGAAGGAAGAGGTAGAAGGGGATTGCGTCCATAGGAACATGACATGCATGTAAAATCTTTCATGGACCTGTGAGCAAATTTCTATGGCGAAGGGAGGGGGGAGTGAAATCAGCATTGTCGAGGCTACAGTAGCCACGGATGCAAAATGTATACATGGATATAATAACTAACTATTGCCTCCTAATTGATCGATCGTTTCTCCTTGCGACCCTCTCAGGCAACGTTGATGTTCCTGAGGCCGGTGTCGCCTCTGACCTTGGATATGGTAGGTGATGAATTATGTTGATGGCTGGATGGGAAGGAGGAAGGATGATCTATGATGGTCTGAGATATGCAGGGGGAGGGGAAAGGGAAAGCTGATAAAACTCCCTTGTCCTGGAAATTAGGCGCCGGATTCTACCTCACCGCTACCCAGGAGCCTTGGGCCAAGAACTGGAACATGTACGACTACGTTGCCAAGGAACTCCCTGCCTTGCTGGATGCCCAGTTCCCCATTGTAAGTCTTGGCTGGCGAATTAAAAGTGTGAAGGGCACAGTGAGCCCAGGGATCTTTTGCTGAAAGGACTCGCGTACTGAATTATTCTCTACTCTTATGGTGTGACGCGGGATTGAATAGGATACCAAGCGCCAGGGCATCACTGGACACTCGATGGTAATGGATTGATCGCAGTCTGGAACACGTTTCTGGATTCGGTTGAGGTGGACTGCGCCGCAATGGAGATACCCAATCTCAGTACTTACCTATCCCTTTCACTGTGTATCATATCATCACAATAGGGTGGACATGGTGCGTTGACCATTTTCCTGAAGAACCAGCAGAACTACACGGTAAGCTGAGACTGTAACATGAGAGAAGGTTTCTTCTCCCTTTCTTTC